CTTCCTCTGTTTCTCTTTCTTCTTCTTCATTATTTAGATATTGGGAATTGAACCAAAACCTCATGTATGTTAGGCAAACACTACCAGTGGGCTCCATTTTTAGTCCTTATGTTGTATTTTCCTTAAAATTATTATTATTGTCTTCGAGTATAGTTTTTTTTACTAATAATATGAATAAGGTGGGAGAGACACCACTGTTACACTCTAAGCTAGTAGATACTCACTTTATGACACACATTCATTGAGTGAATTATTTACTTCACTTGCTGGCATTCAGTAGGGATTGGCTACTGCAATTAAATATTTTTTCTCTATTCTGACTCGCTAACAGACTGCTTCCTGCAAACATGGATTATCTGTGTAGTCTCTTTTCCAGCACTGTCCCAAACTTTCATTGGCTGCTTTTTTTATTTGTGCCAAATTTAATCCAGAGAAAGTTTGGCCACCAACAATCACATATGTGATTGCTGCGGGTTTCTCTTACACATACAATTATTTTAGAGAATTGAGATCTGCTGATGTCAACTGAGATTTGTAGCTGTGGTCATTTCATTTTTCCATTTTTAACCATCATTGAATATACCTTTACTGCAATGACACCCATGCTTATTCATTATGATTGGGATAGGACAGCAAATAGTTTGGCTAAAGGTAAAGTGAAGCTTTTCCCTTGTTCCCCCCCCCCCCTTTTTTTGTTTTGAGTGATTTCAAAAAGATCTTTCATTTATATCTTACAACTATAAATAAATAGATTATAAATTTATAACATTCAATTATTAAATATGAATATAGCTTTTTGTGACTAAGGAAAATTTAAATATAGCTAATTTTTGTATTCATTTGAGTTCAAATTAAGTATAAACATATTAGGATCCATGTTTGTTCTTAAACTCTGCCATGAGCTTAAATGTTTCAGTCTAGCATGTGGAGTTTGCTGAGCTATAAGAAGTAATGGTTGTTATTTTGCTTGAGGAAAGAACTGAATGTTTCTTACTCCATAGTTAATGCCAATTAAATATGCGCAGTATTTATTGAATAACCATTGCATTTTGCAAAATAGTATAAAATTCAGTATTGAGTCAAATCATAACAAGACTTTTCAAGTCTCACATTTAATAAATGTTACATAGGAAAAACCTGAACTTCCTTGTAAGGTAGTTTCAGGGAGTGACAGTTGCCACTTTTCACCAAAATCAAATTGTCTTTTATTTTTCCAGCAGAGAAAAATTAGGTTAATGGTTTTTATGAACAAATTCAATTTTCAATTCTTATTTCGAAATTAACTAGGGAATGTACTACCTTAGCAATTATGAAGTTGAATGTATTTTTATTCTTACATTAATATCAAATGGAACAAAGAATTAAATTTAATGACCTTTAAGTGCTAACTCATTACTATTTCTAGTTAAAGAACCCAACTGTATTTATTATCACCATAGGAAGGGTAACATGGCCAGAACTTTTAGACAAGGGAAGCCTAAATTTAATTCTATTTTGGATCTAAACTTGGTCTTGTGCCCAAGAATTCTACACAATAGAGTCCTTGGGCTCCCTTCTAAATTTCTGGTGGGAATTTAATTCATGTTCATTTTTTTCTGAGAAGAGTTTTCTGCAACCAAATGACTTACCTTGTGAAATTGCTAGCATTTGAACTTCTACTTTTGGGAAAAGGAGGTCAAAATGTACTCAGAAGAATGAGAGAGTGGGTTATTATTATTATTATTGTAACTTAAACAGTAAATACCATTTAAAGATCTAAACTCTCTCTGGCACATCACACTGACCAGTTTGTCTTTGTTTCCAGGTGCAACTACAAATTGAATACCTGGAACAATGCCTTAATTGTTCCTTAATTGACATAAATTAGATGCTCAATAAAAGCTGGTTGAATGATCGACTAAACACCACTTTCCCCTCCCTAGCAGCTGACAAAGCTTGTAATATTTGAGACACAGCTGGATGATTTTGGGCCATGTGAGAGTTCGTGTTCCCATTAAAAGATGCTGAAGATGAGATTGTGTGGACAGATCCTTTCTCTAGAGAGCTCTTTTCCTTAACTGACTCCCTAAAATCACACTGTGCTGCCTTTTATGTTGTAGCATGAAATTTACTCACCTAATGCACTCAGATTTTTAGAAAAGCAAAGGAGTGATATTTACAGAGAAAAAATATTGAAGAGCTCTGTTCCCAAAACACATAACTGTTTGATCAAAAACAGTCTTTCATGTGAAAATCTTCTGAAAGATTTTTATTCAGCGATGAAATCTTATCAAAAACTTCTTTTGCAAAAATAGTTCATCCCTGAACAAGTAAATGACAAGTCAAGATTCCTGAGAATGACAACTTATCAAAGTCTTAAGTTAGAATATTTAGGCCCTCCACTTAAGGCAGTTTCTGTAATGTAGTGAGAAATACACCCGCAAACTCTCAGTCATCCACACGGCTTTCTCAAAGCTTCAGAGCTGACTGGTGCATTTACAGTGCTTTATGGGGCATGTCCAAAAATGGAACTGTGTGATTTTTACTTTTAATTTTTATTGCTATTTAATGGAACTATTTTGTAGAAGACATTTACTTCTTTTCACGCAGGAGATGCTTCTTGCTTCAATGCAAATTCTCTCAAAGGCTTTTCAAGTTTGTCTCACTGTTATTACAAATACTCATTGGGAGGGTTTGGAGGTTCAGTGGTTGGTTGGTAAGTAGTAGTGATCAGAAGGAAGGAGTAAGTCTGAAATGGGGCCCATGAAGACATATGTGTCACCAGAGTCTGTCACTCTAGCCAAACAACGTGGGGCAATTTAGTTTTGGACTGCTGGAGCTGTTGTCATGGTTTTTAGACAAAAATACCAGCAATGTATTCCAGTTATGTCCTTCAGAATGACAGATAACTGAAAAAATAAGAAATGTGGTAATAAAATCTCAGATTACTCAGAAGATAGACACAAGTGAAGGAGAAGTGAGACATGAGTTCACGTTTGCCTACAAAATGCTGCTCTTAGAAGGCTACATATGTTCTGTAAATCCTCCAGACATTTGACTGCAATTTCATCCACTGGGCAGGTCATGGTTCAAAGCCAGTATCTCTTGCTTAATGGAAAATTTTGAATATTTTAAGCTTAAAGATTAAGAGTTTAGAGAATTTAAGGTAAAAAATTCATAAATTGTGAAAAGTAATAAATTTTCCTTGAATTCCCATGTTGTTACAAGATACAACCATGTCATTTTTCGTTAATGCCAGGATCAAATGTAATGATCAGTTTTCTAGTGGAAGGTATTATTGCAAACTTTGGGCAGTATCTGAGATCAACAGTATCCAGGAGCAGCAGAAAGCTTGCTGTTGTGTTATTAGACCCCTGTGAAGGTACTGGCCCTTGTTTAGTGACAGAAACTGATGGGTAGATATGTAAAAGTTAGCAGTAAATTTGAGGATGATATGGGGAGATGCAGTTTGCATATCAGACTATTGCATGTTTCCGTGGCCTCTGCAGTGGAGGAGAAATGGAACTTTGTAGTCCTAGAGTGATACTGAGTAGCTCATTTAATCTTTATTACTTAAAGAAGTTAATGCAAGAATTTTTAGAACTCTAAGGCTGAGTTTCTTCATCTAAAACATGTAATGATAGAACTCACCTTTCATGGTTGTGATTTAAAATTAGAAAATGAGTATAAAGCTCTTGGCTCAGCATCTGGTTTATACCACAAAGTAAGTGTGACGGATGCTATTTATATAGATGCTCCTCTTGCACAAGCTTCTGTCCTACACATGGCAACAGGGGATTTAGACAACTCTTGTTACACAGAGGAGCCCAAAGGACATGAAAAAATTTGAAATTTTAAAACAAAGTATCATAAAAACATAAAAACAAGTATCTCAGCTGTAAAACTAGATGTGCTTGAATGATGAAAAATGCAGTAATTTAATAAATGGTATTTCAAGGGTTATTGCCAGTATTGTGAGAGGAAAATTATAGATGTCCTGAGCCTACATCATATTACTGAATTTCTCCCTGCAGATATTTTATGACCCATTAAGACATTACTTCTGTTAACATATCAAATATAGCTGCTACAATTCAATAAAAATCAGTTTTGTCATTTTCCCTTTAATGTATAAATTTTAACATTCTATCTGGATATTTTGTTTGACTTTATATGTTTAGATTTCATTTTGTTTATTCAGTAAGAACTGGTCTGATTTTATAACGGACATAAGTGGCAAAAGCTGATTTACTTTAGTAAGAGATTTCTGCATAAATGTTACAAAAATCAACCTGTGCAATTATATAATGCTTACAGTAAAGGGGAAAAATGAGTTTTCTTTGTACGATTGCTTTTTCTAAAAAATATATCTTAGTAGCTTGGAGTATGATATTTTACAAGTTTTTGTCTTGCCAAATGTTTACACGTTGTGGCAATTTTTTTTTTCATTCACAAGCCTTGAAATTTAATACTCTACCTGAGGCACATATACCATATCATTGAACATTAATGGATAAAGCAAGAAGAAACCTAAACAGTTCCAAATAAAATTAAATATGAAACTTACTCATTTGGAGTTTATATGAAGGAGCACATCAATTTGTGATTTATTTCTTCAAATTGGTTTTTCAGTTATTAGAATTTTGGAAAAACTAGTTATGATCAAAATTTTACCTGTTATTTCTTGATCAAATACAAAGAGCAAAATTCCAATAACTTGATTTTCCCCTTAGAGCATTTTAGTTTGTCTAGCTTTATGTCCTAAGAACTTCAACAAGAATGCATTTGGCAGTGTAGTGGTAGTGTGCCAGCAAATTTCCACCTGCACATTAATGCATGAATTATTTCTTTCTGCATGTGGCCGCATCTCATTCAAACAATTAGGAAAATGCAGCTTCTGCCATGCTGAAGCTCACCTGCTTGTCCATTGTCCCTAGTTCTCCTCAGAATAGAGGTCACAAAGCAGTATAAAGACACTCAATCAGAATTATTACAATGATTTAGTGTGAAGAGGGTCTTACCTTAAAAGAGATTTCATACTGTTCTCCTCCCCAGATTTCTAAACCTGGATCGTATCCACCTAATTCCCAAAACCATTTTCGGTCGACAGCAAAGAGACCTCCAGCCATAACAGGAGACCTGTGAAGTGAGCAGAACAATCTTTAAAGGACTGTGAAGATCAGGGATAATGGTGTTTTGCTTGTAAAAAAAAAAAAAAGTTAATGATATCATATTACAGTGATACATGCATAACTATGTTTATAGCAGCACAATTTTTAATAGCTCAGTCATGGAAGTGGTCTGTATGCCTGTAAACAGATGAATGGATAAGAAAAACATGGTATTTACACACAATGAAGTACTACTCTGCAATAAAGAAGGAAAAAATGTGAGTCATTTGCAGGAAAATGGATCAACTTTGAGACCATAATGTTCTATGAAATAAATCAGACATACAAACTTCAGTATCACATGGTTTCTCTTATATGAGACACACAAAGTATAAATAAATTAAAGAGAAAAATAAACGATAGATACTAGGAAACAGGGAGCCAGAACTTTTGCAAAAGGGAAGGGATTCAAGAAAACGGAAGTGGGCCAGGGAGAGGTGGGAAAAGGAATAAAAACGAATTAAAATGTGTTTTGCACATGTACCACCTTCCCATGATGAATGAAATCTTATGCAATGGAAATATGTACCAATAAACATAAACATTTTGAAAAAGATCAAGATATGTTTTAATGGGAGCTGCATGAAGCTTTCCAACATATATTTTGGTATCAGGAATCAAACTCAGGACCTTGTGCTTGCTAGGCAGGCACTGCTGAGCTATATCCCTAGCCCTGAAAGTATATTTTGAGTATTAAACTTTGTAGTTCGGGTTTAGCTTTGCAACAAAATCTCTGCAGAACTAAATTCCTCCATTTGTTTAGCTTTAAACCAAAGCATATGAATATAAGTTATGGATACACTGAGAAAATTCACTTGATTTTGTAAGAGATCTTATACTATCAGACAGATAAAAGTGTGATTGAAAATGTTGTCAACAGTCTTCGATTTTAATCCCTCCTGGTGCCCACTGGAGAATGCACTATCTGCAGGTCATGTCCAACTGATGGACTATGCAGTGGGCAGTTAGAATAAAGTAATTTACCAGAATTGATTATTTAATGTACATGTCAAAATTAAAGTTTGAAACACCACATTTTCATTATATTATTCTGCCTTCTCTCTTTTCTTAGAAAGGAAACTAATTAATATTCATTTTGGATAAATAATTCTCATGTATTCCACAATGTTAGGATGTGTTTTGGCCATGCAGGTGTATAATAAAATAATTAAATCCCTTTATGGGTTCTGCCCTAAAATATTTTTGCAATTCAAAGGTATTATTGTGGTTTTTTTGAGGGCTCACTATATGCAAGGCTAAGAAATTTAGCTAATTACTTTGATGATTCTTTACAACAACCCCATGGATATTGTCCCTATGTGTGGTTTGAGGATATAGGGAGAAAAATGAGTAATATCGCTCCTGTTTAGAACTTGAGTATGGTGAGTTTGGAGCTAGACCCCGTTCCCTGATTTGAAATATTTTATTTTCTCCATTTTAATACTGCTTCAGTGTTTGCACACAAGACCAAACTGCATACACACATGGATATAAAACCTTGACATAAACCAAGCAATACACAAAAGCACAATGTTAATGTAGTTAATGCCACAGTTTTGAAAATTTCTTGAAACAAAGGGTAATTATGAATAATGATATAAAACACTCAGTGTTGGCATAGAGTATCAAAGATGTGTATAAACATAGTAGGCACACCAATTTAGATTAACAGAAGATTTATACTCAGTAATGTTTTATGAGGCACTTGAGAAGTATAAATCTGAATTTAACTGTAACATATACATCAGGGACTTTGTGTGTTAACGTGGTACTTCATCTAATTACTTCAGTTTAGGAATATTTGGAAGGAATGGATTCTATGTAGTTGGAAGGATTAAAAGGACTTATTTTTTCCTCTAGGCAGCCAAGCAGGATTCAGAACATGTAATTTTTGTTTGAAATAAAAATTCTAGAATCAGATGTACATTTCTTTATCCTTCTGTCCAGTAGGTTGATCTTTTCCTTTTTTCCTCACACTGCACCTAGAGTAGAATTATAACTAAAAAAGGAGCAAACCAGGACTGGATTACATGCAGTGTAACTTCACAGTGAACACAGTACCACGGTTGTGACCTGGGCTTCTGCAGGAGTTGGTTATAAGTCATCAGAAATTCTCAGTCCTAATCCACCTGAACCCAAAATGGGAGGATTGTCAGTCACATAAATATATTCTCATTTGATTGTGTAAATCATGAGATCAAAGTGCTTCAAAATTTACATTCCTAGAATTACCATAAATATGATGATACAGATATTGTGCAAGGAAAGTCTAAAAGTGAATTTTAAGCTAATTGAATTTATTGGTGCATTTTAGATATACATATTGATCACATTCATCATAGGGAATTTGTACCTGTATGTGAAATAACCTGATTCCTCGCTCTCTCCCATTACTCTCCCTTCTTTCAACCCATCTCCTCCTTATTTATGAAAGCTTTTTCCTGTATTTTTTTCACTTTTTCTTTTTCCTTCCTTCCTTTTGTCCTCCTCTCTCCCTTATTTCACTTCCCACTTGAACATATTCTTCCTATTTCATAATGTCTATTATACATTTCAGTCCTTATTTATGTTTTCAGTTTCTAACAGTGGAGAAACAATGTAATATTTAAATATATATCCAATTTATTTATCCATTTAACTAGAAATGTCTTAAGTTTATTCTTCTTTATGGCCCAGTAGTACTCCACACCTTCTTTATCTTTTCATTAATTCATGGGGATGTAGGCTGTTCTGAGATTTGGCTATTACACACTGTTGTGTGCATATATAAACATGGGCATGCATAAATTGCTGTGGTATGATGCTTTTGATTCTCTGGGGAAGATATTAAGAAAGGGAACACCTGAGTCAAATGGAACCTCTAGTCCTAGTTCTTTTGAGGAATCTCCACATTTTAATTTACACAGGGGTTACACCAGTACACATTTCCACTAACAGTGGAGAAGGGCTCTTTTTTCTCCATAACCTCACCAGTATTTGTAATTGGTTGATTTCTTGATAATAGACATTCTTTCTTGGATGAGATAGAGTCCCAGTGTTATCTTAATTTGCATCTCAAGAATGATCAATGATGTTGGACGCTTTTCATATATTTATTTGTCATTTATACTTTTTCATCTAAGGAGTGTATATTCATTTCAGGTGCCCATTTCTGTAGAGGGTCTTTAAATTTGGGGGATATTATTTTTAAGTTATTATATATATTATTAATATATAATTATTTTATATTATTAATAATATAACATAATATATTATAACATATAATATTATATATAATATATTATTAATAATATAAAATTAAATATTTTATATTATTATTTTATTCTAGATATTAGTTCATTTTCTGAAGAACAGATGGCAAAATCTTTTTCCCATTCTGTGGGTTGTCTCTTCATTCTGTTTGGTGATTTCTTTTGCTATGCAAAAGCTTTTTAATAAGACGAGATTCCAGTGGTTGTTCTTTGTAATATTTCCTGTGTGACTGAGGTTTCATTCATAATGTCTTTGCCAACACCTGTATCTTCAAGAGTTCTACCTAGTCTCTTTTCCAGTAGATTTAATATTTCTGTTTAAATATTTACATCTTTGATCATTTTGATTTTAATTTAGTGCATGGTGGGAGACATGGGTCTAATTTTAGTCTTCAGCATGTGGAAAACCAGTTCTTCTAGTGCCATTAATTAAAGAAGCTGTCTGTTTTCTTTTTTTTATTTAAAGAGAAAGAAACACAAAAAATACATGGAGAAAAAAAGGGTAGAAATAATACAGAATTACCGAAAAATAAACGGTAAAAAATCACCAGTTGATGTTACATATTGTCATCTTAGAAATAGTTGTTCAGGTTACAAAATAAAAGTATGTAAAGTGACATTCAAATAGTGACACTGCCAACAGTTCTGCTCAATGATCTAACAAAAAGTTAGTAATATGATTATCAGTCCTACACACTTGTTTTTTATCTTAAAGAGGGTAACATTAAACATATCAAAACAGAACAAAACAGCCCCAAAAGAAACAATTTAAAGAAATACTGATTTCAAAGCAAGTCCACTGAAGATCTTCACTGTTTATTTAATTGTGTCTAGTTTTCTTCCAAAAAGTTGTCCTCATCTTCACACACATTAAATACATACTGCATATTATAGAACTAATCAGATCATTACAGGATGATGAAGACTTTTTAGGTCTTCAAGATCTGACATTGGGGAAGACAATAATGACTAACATAGTGTCTCTCATCCTCTTCGTAGTAGCTGTCCTTTATGTATGCTGAAATTGAACTTAAGAGGCTAGACTAATATCACTCTGAACAGTGAATAATAGTATTGCTAGATTTTATATCATAATGCTACAGAATTAGCATTGGGTTTCTTGGTGTCTCTTCAGAGTATCTGTTCATTACATCTTGCGTTATATAATCTGTTCCTGTAAATAGTTTAAAAAATTCTTCCCATGTGTGAATTTCTACATGTATATCTATCCTCTCTGTATTACAGGGAAAAACAAATCATAACAAGACAGCAAAACAAATTCCTAAAAAAACATGCAATGAAAAAGACACATAAGACCACAATATTAGGTGATCTACTGTAGTTACTATGCTTTCTCTTGTTATTTTCAATAGACTTGTCCAATCATCAGGCTTAATATAGTTGGACATAGTATTACATAGCTATTTGATAAAAACACACCTTTGAAAAGATTGTAGCTTCAGCTCTCCATCCATGCTTTTCCTTCCTCTTCCTAGTTTTATTTTTCCTGTCGGTTACCGCCTTGGTTAATAAGAATCATTATCCATTTGTCTGGCCCTGTCTATGTCGTGGTGTTCTAGCATCTAATCTGATTTCTCCACAGAGACTCTGCACCCATTCCCCTAGCAAGCCACCATTTTTCCACACCTCCAAAGCTGTCTGTTTTCCAGTAAAGGTCTTGGGTCCCTTTGTTGAAGATGGGTGGTTGAATGTGTTT